ATTTACCAACATCACGCTGGACTCGAGCCGATGAGACACCAATATATTTTCCTTTGAAGGCTGACATATTGCCTGCTGCTTCCGATGCTGTTTTCTTGGCCAGCAGACAAATAGCTGGGGATGTTTCAAAAATCACCTCCCATTCAAGTCAAGGGGGAAAAATGTCTTGTGATTGGTTCATCTTGCAGACATTGATCTCGCTCTCCTCTGGGCCCATGTCGGGGCCTCTGACAGCCGCCTGCCCTGGGCTCAGTCCTTCCACACAGTGGTTCGAGGAAAGGTCCGGAGAACGCTCGGACCCTTGGCTGTCAGCAGAGATGTGTAACAAGCCATCAACACATTTTCCTGATGTCATGGGCTGGCTTTTGTTTCCCCCTTGTTTGAAGAGCCCTAAGAGAATCTGACATGGACAACGTGCTTTGGAGTGGTTTGAGGTCACAGAGACATTGCTGTCAGGCTATTGGGATCCTAAAAACCCACAACCACCCAAGTGCTCACTGATGTGCTTCTGCTTGGTATCTAAATTTCTGAACATTAAGGTTTCTTCCTGTATCAACCTTACCTCGCACCAAACAGCCCAGATGTGCATTTCTAAATGACAGGATCAAAGAATTTTGAGTGAGGAGTAATTTTTTAAGCAGCATTTTAATATTTTGAAACAAAGTAAATTCTCATTAGTTGAGAAGAAAGGATCTTAAAGGCCATATAACCCCACTTCCCCATTGGTAAGGAATTATCACTCTATCTTTTGAATTCCTCAAGTAACGGGGAGCTCGTCACCCTACATCACTGGGCAGTATTAGTATAATATGAAAATTACAAATGTATAATCAGATCAATCCTCCTACTCTTATTGAACCAGCTTTTACAATTATGAATTAGCTTTTAATTTGAAGTCACTCAGAAAGAATAAAACAATCTTTATTGACTAAAATCTTCAAAGCTAGCATAACTCCTAGTGTTGATGCTATATTACATATAATCTAAGTCTACAGCATTGCAATTTTTTCATTCACTCGCTTCATTTTGTATATCTAAGCTCATTATTTTTCCATTTCTACTCAACTCATTGTGTATTTACTATTCTTGGTGCAATATTTTAGAACACACAATCTCATTACAGGGTGACATTATATCGCAGCTGCCTGAAGCCCTCCGTGGGTATACCTCATTATTTCAATATAATGTTTAATAGCACCCCCTTCCACTCTCAGAAGTGTCCTGGTTTGGGTGACAAATTTATGCCAAGGATTTTAAAGTCTTAAACATTTTTTTTTTGTAAATTGTACTTAAAATCTACTCCAATGAAGGTTGGAATCCCCTGCCTTCCATCTTCCACCCTTCTCAATTAACAGCTTGTAGTTTGAAATGACCAATCTTTTGGACTGTGGCATATTTTTAATATAAGGAGTCGCCCCTCCATGCTCCATGAGAGCCACCTCCGTGGCGGGGCTGGAGCCCAGCCCTCTGCGTGGACAGGATGGCCCACAGCCCATGTGATGTCACTTTCATTAAGATACCGAAAACTGGAAGAAACCTTTCTGAGACAGGCACAGCATGGTGGCAACAAAAGATGTTCTCCTACCTGAGAATGCATTCCCTCTACTTTCATCTCTGGGGGCCTCAGTTTGTCTGCCTATGAAAGAGCACAGCGCTGCCCACTTCACAGGGCCGGGGAAAGGATTAAAGGGGTGATAGCCACGGGGCACTCTCAGCCGCCGGGAACAAAGGCGGTGAGTAATTGAGAAATGTGCAGTCCCGCTTTTCCGGCTTGTGGGGAAAGGGCTCCTGCCGGCTTGAAAGGCGACGTCACAGGCACACAGAAGCAGCCCCCCAGGAGGAAAGAGCCTATTACCTCCGCTGCCATTGTCCGAAAGTGCAAAGGAGACGGGGCGTGCAGAGGGGCCTGAGAGCTGTGGGGGCAGGAAAACAAGACCGGGGGAAAAATGACTGATGGACGACAAAAGAAAACCTGGAAAACATGGACATCTTGATTTAAAAATAATCTGTGAAGACTGTATGCCAGGAACAGCTTTTAAAGGAACCACTCCATATATTCTCTGATCCCTTGATAGAATACATTCATAATTTTTCACACTGGAATGCCTTTATCCCACGCTCTATCTACCCTTCTAATCTAACAGCCTCGCGGGCAGTTCAGTGGTCCCTTGCGGAGTGGACTGAATTCCAAAGTCCCTACATATACAGCTTGCTGTAAGTTCCATTCAAATGATTAACCACTAGAGAATGAAACTGTAATTGGTGATACAATTTTGGCATAAACTATTAACACACCCGCCCCACCAAGGCTGAAGAATGGGTTTGGACAAGTACAAAGTGCCATCACGGTTTTGGGTAACTCGCGGTCAAGGAGATGGAAGACAGTCTCCCGTTCATTAATACAGGCTACTAAAATCAAATGGGGAAAAAATAAGAACAGTAGGAGATGTTGCCCCAAGCAGCGTTTTCCCGGCAAAGGCTGCATCTCAAGAACCCTTCAGAGCACTCTGGGAATGCATAGAAGTTTGCAAATCAATTTGCTAAATTGGCTTGGCTGGAAATCATGCTTTTGTGCGTGGATCCCGCTGAAAGGCATCTCTGAAGCTACCAGGCCCTCCCAGGGCACCGTCAACCAATGCAGAGAGAGTCCGGGGACATCGTGAAAAGAACATGGATTCAGGGTCAATTAGCCTTGGGCTCAAACTCTAGTTCCACTTAGATGGCCAGGTGACTCTGGATAAGTCATGTGATCTCACTGAGAAGAGGACTACACGAGCCCACCAGCCTTGCAAGGTGCGGGCAAGATGCAATGCCCAATATAGCCCGACGAGTCAAGCACCATGCTAAGTTCGGCTCTTGTCAGTGCAGAGATAACCCAGAATGGCAGCAGCCCACCCCTCCAACCCCCAAAATGTCTCATTGCACTGTAGGGCAGTCTTGAAAACATTAATATGGAATGCTTGCATATACTTAACCAAAATAGGGCCTTAATTTAAGTATCTGGAAGAGCCAAACTGAAGTTCTAAAGTAAGAATTCTTAGATGTCAAACGTATTCCATTTTGTGATCTGTATAATTTTGCCTTTTATATATCGTCAACTAGTAGAAATTATGCACATGATTCATCTCCTTCAAAAGCACGTGTTGGCCTTTCACAGTGGGCTTCCCAGGGGCTGCCTACAGCCAGAAGAGCCTTTGGTCCTGAACACGTAAGAGGCAGAAGAATCTAAGGGACAGAGCAGCAGAGGTCTCAGAGCTTATCCCATCAGCCCTCTCACTGCAAAACAAAGGCTTGGAGAGGGGAAGTTGTTCGCCCAAAGTCAAACAATGCAGGCTTTGGGTTAGGACTTTTAGTAAGCCACTGTAAACCAAACCTGCAACAAAAAAATAAATAAATAAATCTTGCCACAGAGCCTTATTCTCTGACATTGCCAATGCTATAGTCAATGTCATCAGCCCGTCTGGTACTGGATCTGCCCTTCAGAAAACAGGGATCTGCCCTGAAATATCACAACAGAGAGAAACCTGCTAAGATAGGTCAGTGCCATTTTACATTTCCAATATGACCCAGGACCTAGTCTCTAATATGTCTAGGGGTTGGCAAATCTGAAAGACTGGGAAAAAAATCATCAAAAGGACCCTTTGAACATTATATTTATGACATTTTCTGTCCCATGGTAACAGACCCCATGCTAGGATAGGAAAGTTAACAAATCAAACATTTTAGCACAAATTTTAGAGTGTCCATGATATGCCTTCTACAAAATCAAATTCTCCAGGTAAATTTCTGAGCATAATGATTTCTAATCACTGATGGGTGCATTTTAAAAGGTGATAGCCCACACAGAGTAAGATTTGTCAACAGTCAGGTAGAAACAATGCTCCTGTTTCGTAATTCTCCAGCTGCTAATCCTCGCTGATTACTAATTCTGGTTCCGTCTCTGGGATTAAGGGAATGTTCTATCTTGAATGTGCTAATTTAAGGACCAGACTGTTCCGAGGCTAATTTCCAGTTCAAACACACTTCGATGCTTCAAAGCAATTTTGTGCCCTCTTAGGAGACTGCCATCAGGACCAGAGTGGGATAGAGGCTGCAGGAGGCACATAGTCAGGGGACCTCACATATTCTAGGAAAGAAGACATCACAGAGCCTGTCTAAAGGCTCAGGGGAAGGAACCCGGGGAGACAGTTGAAAAGGAAGCTAAAATTCCAAAGGACAGAGGTGGCGCTCCCCAGTTGACTCAGGGATGGGCCCCAGGGCATTATTGGAGGGAAGGGAGGGAGGAAGGGAGATCCAAAGGAAGGCAGGTGAGGAAGAGAGGAGAGGGAGAAAGAGAGAGAAAGGAAGGCAGGCAAAGAAAGTGCCAGATACAGAGACATTGTGAAGGCAGTTTAGGTGACATTCCATGCCGAGGTGAGAAAACATGGATTAAAAAGGACCTCCTTACCAAATGGTTTGGAATTTAACAGAGAAGTTCTGCTCAATCACATTATTATGCGTTGTAGGTATGCACTGTGGGATTGGACTTTATTCTGCTGAAAACATTTTTAATTAACGTTTTCTCTTAAGGAATGTGCTCAATTCATGATGGATAAGAAAAAGATCATTCAATTAGATTGATTTTTGTGGAATAACAAGTCAAAACTACTTGAATGCCAGCCTTTAACAAAGTTATATATCCATGTGGGGAAACAAAATCCCTCCTTTCTAGAACTCTAAATTAGCAGGGTTAATTCACAGTGTGGACATAAGAAATAGCAAATACTCAGTTTGATATTTGGGTTGTCAAAATGAGAAAAGAAAGCAGACTAAATTCTATAGAATAAAGCTTTTCTGATCCCAGAAATTACTAAGAACTTGATAGTTTTCTTGGCTGTAATGACTTGTAAATATCTAGAAGAGCCCAGATTTTGAAGCCCTGCGGATACTTGCTAAAACTAAGAAATTTGGCACTAGTCTTTGCACACAATTTGGGTTTTCTTTCAGAGTTGATATCTTACCAAATACAGCCATCTGTGTTCCCTCCGGGAAAGGTTCGACTGTTCTGTTGCCATTGACATGATGTTTGGCTAGGAAAAAAGAAAGAAAGAAAGAAAGAAATGTAAGTTTAAGTGCAAAGTTCTACACACGTACTAACACATGTCATTAAATGTGTCAGTGAGCCTATTTCTCATTTTGAGTTGCAAATGCACCAAAGCTTATGCTCGAGTTTCAATTATTTTGTTTTTAATGTCAGTTACAGAAGGGCCTTAGAGACCATCGAGTTCAGGTATGCTGTTTTACTAAGGAGTATACCAAGGGGCCTGAGCTTGTACCCGAGCTGGACAGTCGATGACAACAGGGCCAGGAGCCTGAATGCTCCTGACTCCTGGCCAGAGGCCACTGTGCCAGGCTCCTTGCCTTCCCTGGGGAACAAGGGAAGCTCTGGGTTCCAGGCTGAACTGGGGGTGGCTTTACCCCGAAAACTCTTAACAATGATGCAATCAGTATTTATTTATTTATTTATTTATTTATTTATTTATTTATTTATTTATTTTTTGAATATACGATGAGACAGGACAATCAGTATTTAAAATGGGAAGTAAAAAGAGCAGAGAATCATTGGGACCAGTGTTATAAGGAACACAACAGCAGAACATGCCATTTCACTGCAGTCCAAGCTCTGTTCCTAGTGGCTAACAACACCAGCTTTCTTAAGGGCCAGATGGATGTTCCAGAACTTCTCACTGCCCTTTACCTCCCAGGTCCTCCCAACAATCATCTGCCCACCCTCATGCATGTCAAGGGCTTAGAAATAATAAGCGACCAGGTCATGGTTTTCCAGCATTCATTTGTTCTCACAGCCCCAAACTGTCACCAATAGAGAATGTCTGAGTATGTCCCATCTATGAGTATTTTAACAGTATCTTCAGCAAGCTTTGAATATGAGCATTTATATAGAAAATACATACAAAAAGGGGATAGCTAATACGCTTCACACTGCATCATCGAGCACGTTTTGATTTAATGATTCACGTTGCATTGACCTAACATGACCTCAGCACTAAAGCCAGGCCCTAAGGGGTCTCGGGAAGGATGACATGGTTCCTGCCCTTGAAGAGAGCACATTTATCTTCCAGAAGTAAACATTCCAGAAACAAATGTTACAGAAAGCTCACGATCATGTGCTAGTCTTGGAATGTGGACCGATGGGACTGCAGGAGCTTGCAGCAGAGGGAGAGCAAGTCGGGGAGTCAGAGCATAATGTGACGGAACTGCCACTCCGGCAGTGATAAAGGAGAGGCGGGGTTTGCAAAGGGGGGGGGCAGCAACTTGAGTGAGGGCTGGAGCACAATCCAGCCTGGTGCAGTGGAGGTGCTATGTTCACAAGCAGCTGCAATGAAGGATGCATCAAGACTGGGACCAGGTCGTGGAAGGTCTCAAGCACCCCTCTAAACCCACAGGGACCCCAGGCAGCTTCTGCAGCACCACTACAAGTCCTGCAGACCCTGAAGGCTCACGGGGCTCAGTGCAGTTCAGACAATCCGTGGGGATCCCATCAGCTCTGTTCAGGGGCTCTCACTCGTTCTACAGTAATTGTGGCATTAGCCCTAGGACAGAAAACCTGGGAGAAGGCAAGGAGCTAGCCTGGGGTTCCCAGTGCAAGGTGGTGGGTCAGACTGGTACAACTAGCAGGCGCGTGATGGAAGGTCCCTGGTGACCTTGGCAAGCACTCACTAGTATGGGTAGGACTGCTAGTTGGTGAATTCAAAGAAACATGGTGAGCCTCCGTGTGGAGGTCAAAGCTCTGTCCTATGGTCAGGACCCCATAGCACCCCTTAGTGGTTTTGAAAACGCCTTTGCCCACATCAAGAGCGGGAAACCCATTCAAACTCTGTAACCCACTAATCTCGCTTGCAAGAATGTAACATGAGGAAAAATGCAAGAGGAAAAATAGGAGATGCTCATAATATTTATTAAAGTATTACTTGCAATAATGAAATCTTAAAATCAACTAAATAGCCAAAAGTGAGAAAATTGCTTAGAAAAGTACCATTTATGATTTGTCAAATGAATGGAACATTATGCAACATATTTTAAATATATCATTGACAGATAATATCAAAATGTGGGGAAATATGTGAGCTAATGATAAGGGAAAACAATCCTATTACATCTTCTATGTAGATTATAATGACAACTAATTAAAATATGAATACTTATGGGAAAGGACTAGCAGAGAAACACACAAAAATGAAAATAGGGAGATTATGCAAGAGGTTTATTTTTATCAGTTTCCTTTGTCACTTTTAGATTCTTTTCTTATTGTCTAGAATGAAAATATGTTTGAATTTTTAAAAATCAACAAAATTATAGATTTTTAGATGTTTTCCACAGTAGTTGGCTTCAGGACTGTCCATGGAGGCTGTCTCTAGCCCAGCTGAAACAATACACATGCCAGTACAACGTGCGCCCTATTTCACATCTGCTCTGGGGCACTTCAAAGCACTCAAGATGGCCTTCCATCCCAGTCTCGATTCTCTTCCCGCATCCCTTGCCTGGAAAGCAGGCCCACCACCCTCCTACTTTCCATCATCCTCGCCCCTTCTCTCTCCTTCACTCACCACATCTACTCTGACCCCGAATCCAGTGGATCTCACCTCCCACCCGTCTCCACCAGCCCTCCTCTTCTTCCCTTCACCGTTCAAACTGCCCCGGAGCCAACCATCGAGACCGCTCTGTCTGCGCTCCTACAACCGCCTTCTAACTCTTCTACGTCCCTCACCCCACTCGTCTGCCCAAGGCAGCACAGTTATCTTTCCACAGGAAAAAAATCCAATCACATGAGGGAACCTTCCCAACCCCCTCTCCCATCTGCCACGGCTGGGAATTACTCTTAGGCCAAAGTCAACACTCGCTAGCACGTCCTTCAGGGAGCTGCATGGTGTAGTCACCTGGTCCCTTATCTCTCTGCTGCAGCCTCCCTGATCTCTGGGGACCAAGCACTCCCCAGAGCTGCGCTCTACACTCATGTCACCACTTGGACGAGGACCGCATCTACCAGCAGACTGTAAGCTCAGGGACGGGAGGGGTTGGATCTCTTTGGGACCACCATTTCCACAACCCTAGAGCATCCTAGAGCAGCATATTGACACAGAGCAGATGTCCAGTAAGTATTTATTAAGTTAATAAAGTAAATGGCACTAAGAAGTCTCTCTTTAGCCATTATAAAAGATACATTAAAAATACATATACACACTGTTAATATGTCACTTGACAGGGACACATTCTGATACAAATGTCACTAGGTGATAGGAATTTTTCAGTCCGTTATCCTACGAGACCACCATGTATATGCAGTCCCTTGTAGACTGAAACGTTGTTATGCATCACATGACTGTGACATACCTTTATAGGTACATGTGTCCCTTATGTAAAAGTAATCATTGAAAATGGCCACTGTGGCCGGGTGCAGTGGCTCACGTCTGTAATCCTAGCACTCTGGGAGGCCAAGGTGGGAGAAATGCTTGAGCTCAGGAGTTCGAGATCAGCTTAAGCCAGAGTGAGACCCTGTCTCTACTATAAATAGAAAGAAGTTAGCCAAATAACTGAAAATAGAAAAATTTAGCCAGGCATGGTGGCATGTTCCTGTAGTCCCAGCTACCCAGGAGGCTGAGGCAGGAGGATCGCTTGAGCCCAGGAGTTTGAGGTTGCTGTGAGCTAGGCTGATGCCACGGCACTCTAGCTTGAGCAACAGAGTAAGACTCTATCTCAAAAAAATTTAAAAAAACAGAAAAAAGAAAAAGAAAATGGCTACTGAGAAATAGGTCCCCAGCCAGATAGCTGGCAAACAGGAACTCCTGTTTCACTCCGGCAATGCCCATACCTCCTCTGTTTCCGGTTTGCCCACTCCCACTGGGACGCTGGGGCAGAGGGAAAGGACAGAAATACCCATGAACTAGGAGAGGATGCACAAAGTTTGTCTGCTACTCCCTGCTCACAAAAGAGGTCCCCCTGGGCCCTCTGTCTTGTCTTTCATTCCAGAGCCTGAGGCCAAGGGTGACAGGTTCTGTAAACTCGATTTCGCACTTTCCTTCTAAAATACAGCTGAGTCCTGAGGACGGGAGACACAGCACTGGCAGCAAGAGATAGTGCAGTGGCCACAGGTAAGAACATAGGCTCTGGAACGAGACCTGCCTGTGAGTCTCAGCCCTCTCCTTCCCAGTCTTCGAGCCTGGCTTAGTCACCTAACCTTGTTACACCCGTTTCCTCCTTTGTAACCTACCTGCTGTGTTGTTTGGGGAATTAGATAAACTAAATATCAAAAGCATTTAGAAGAGTGTCCAGTATATTGCAAATACTACCTTTTAGGCTAGTATTATCATCTACATGTGAACTTTATTTCTCACAACATTTGAGTCAGGAATGGCAAATACATGACACCAATATCTGCATATGCTCCCTTTCCGTGCCCGTGGCAGACATCACTAATCAACCAGAGCACACTTCCACAATCCCCAAATGTCACAAAATCCTTTCTCAACATAGCCCCCCTACAGAGTGAGTCTCTTACTGCTTAGAGGTGGCCTGTGCGATTAAATCATTTTGCCATTCCTGGTCTAACTGAATAAAATAGAAAGACCGCCCAAAGGAAGAAGTCATTTTTTCCCTCATTTCTACACAATACATTGCAATAAAACCCCTCTGAAAATCTTCCAAACTCTACAAATAGCTTTAAAAGAATATGGGGCGGGGATCTGAGAGCTTCTTCCCATTCCATAATGAGAGAATGGTACGCTCTTTAAAATCGAGCAATGGTAGTTCTATTCCTAGAAACCAAGGTGGAGTTTCTAAAGGCATTTTCCCATTGAAACTCTGCTAAGGCAAGTATCTGGAGGCCAAAGAAGAGATCTTTTAAACTCTTCATATAGTTTAAATAAGATGGGGGGTAGGAAGTAGACTAACCTGGGAACTTAAACAGCATTTATAAATTTTTTGTTTCAAAATTGGCAGCATGTGTCACCACAGACATAAACGGAAAAGCCATCCGGTGACTGGGTCCCAGCGCCTGACTACCAGCAGAGTGTGC